GGCCGAGCTGCTCTACACTCCCATCGCACACAACTGAGCCACCCGAATGGGTGCGTTCGCTGCAGCAGCTCGACTTTGGAAACGAATTGAACCGAGCCTGTTGAAGGAGCTTCCTGGCCGGCATTACTGTAGAGGCTTCATCTTTGAGATAAAGTTCACCAACTAAACGACCTAGTCAATCTGTCAACAGGCCTTCCTTCGGCAAGTCACAGCAAGCAGCCGGCAATCCGATCAGGTCACAGGAGAAGGTGGCCTCCTGGGTGCGATTTAATGCACTCTTTGTCGTCTGTAAAGGCGATGTCTGTTTGCCGGTTTCCATCACGAGATACAGAGCCGGACTTCGTTCTATACGGTCTGCTCAAAGGAGGTAGTGAGTTGATTTTGTACCTCACTGGTTTCCTAAAAAAATTACGGCAAATCCAGAATTTTGCCGCTCACATCATATTTTGTAAAGACCTGTGTTGACATAAATCTAAATTAATTTCACACAAGAAGCTTGGTGCAGTTGGCCGGGCTCTAGGCCTCATTGGTTTTATTCTCTGCATGGGCAGATGATTCATGTGCGTCTTTGGCGTCAAGACCGACATATTCGAGATCATCGCTCAATTTTTCGGATCTCCGACGTGGTTACATTCTGGGCCGTACCGAGCCTTCCAAGCTCGAGTTGATCCCACACCCTACTACATCGTCCGTGGCAGCCGGTGGCCGTTGGCAGGCCCTGGTCGTAGTTCACGTCGACGCACAGAATGCATACTAGGATCAACCACAACCTGAGGGACGTCAAAGTAGCATGAAACCATGACCATCCGAATTGCACAAGTGGAGCAAACATGTCTACAAACGAATTTAGGCTCCCATTCCACGTCAAATTGGCGATATTGCGGTAGAGGACGTCAGTCAGATCGTGTTAAGGAAAGCATAACATCACGTACCACATTCTCTGCAAGGGCTGTCAGTCCCAAAGACCACCCACTAAAGTTGATCGCCCCTTGCACACACTGAAAGTCGAATCGTGTACTACAGGTGGAGGATGCCGACAGCATAGGTGGACTAAATTCCGAAAAATATTGCCTGGGTGCTAACAAACGGATGGCTCTTCATTGGAACACAAACACGTTCGCACCCTCCTTCACAATACTTGCCCACAATGACGTTGCGCCACCCAACGTGACCTCGTGCACAATAGAGGAGGAGCTCCCCGCCTACACACCGGTGTCCGAAAAGGGGTATCGTGGTTGTCCTGTTCCATCCCCAAGACTTTTTCACAGGAACGCGCTCCCAAGAATCAAACGTCAAGGAAAGGCAATACGTAAAAGAAACTCTTTTTCCACACTTGCCCCAACGTACTAGCCAACAATCCGAAAGAAACGACAACGGCGCCCATCCCATCCTTGCCCTCCTGACCCCCTGTACGCGAATTTCCAAAGCGCAGGCTAGCTTCATCGATCATTACGCGAAGATGGCCACCGCTTTCGCGCGAAATGCCAGCAGAACCGTTCACACAATCATCATATAGCGCCACGGTGGCTCCGAAGGAGCGCATTCGACGAAGCCTCACCTCTTCCACGAGTCGTAACAAATACTTGGTCGGAAAGTCACAACGAGAGCCCATAACTCGTCCTCTCACCGCGCCCTATGAAAAAAACACACACACACAAACAGGCAAGTCTAAAAGCCTCCCACCCCCGTGGAAAATACACGAGCGAGAGGGAATATATGGCAAACGATGCGTCCATGCATCGCTGTCTAAACGCGGAACGCGAAAAGAGGCCTGCGTGTCGTCTTTGCGGCGGCCGGGCGACCCTCCGTCTCGGACTCCAACTTCGACGACAACGGCAGCGGCGAGCAAGTGCGTCCCACGAACGCCGCCACCGACGAGGCAGCGAGGTTGCGGCGGGAGCGAGAGAGGGCCGCCTGGCGGCCTTCGAACCAGCTAGCTCCACGCTTCAATGGCGCCGGCATCTGCAAGGGAAAAAAATAGTGGCATGTGGCGGTTGGGGGGGGAGTACTCATAGTCGTACATGCCGTAGTCGTTAGAACATTGACCTCGCATGCCTACAAAGCCGGGACGGAGCATGCCGGGTTCTCACCGGAGCAGGCTTTCACCATCACCCAGCGCGAAGCGCCGTGAGATGTTCGACGAGTCGCATCAAGGGTGCCCTGCATCCTGCTCAAGGTGTTCGGCATCTTGTGCCTACTTCCTTGCGTACGGATGACAGCTGCGTATGACTTAGTTTATTTTCTGGTGCATTCACTTCCTGAGACAGTTGTAAGCACTGTGTAACTGCCTCAAGGGTGCTTGACAATTTTAACACAACGTGGTGCGATCATCCCCCTTGCGCGGAGTGGGGGTTCTCGACCCCGCACAACATGGTCTACTCGACCACCATGATGGTTACAGCCAAAAATAAACCGGAGGACGGAATAAAAAAGGTAACATGGTTGCCGAGTTTACGAAGTGAATTGGCTGGTTTTACAACGTCGTTGCCAAGCGACGAAAACCCAATCCCGATGGCAAACACCGGGGGGGACGGCTTGTGTTACAACGTCGTTGCCAAGCGACGAAAACCAAACCCCGATGGCAAACACCGAGGGGGGGGGGCGGCTTGTTTTACTACGTCGTTGCCAAGCGACGAAAACCCAATCCCGATGGGAAACACCGGAGGGGGCGGCTTGTTTTACAACGTCGTTGCCAAGCGACGAAAACCAAACCCCGATGGCAAACACCGAGGGGGGGGGGCGGCTTGTCTTACAACGTCGTTGCCAAGCGACCAAAACGCAACCCCGATGGCAAACATCGGGGGTAGGGGACGGTTGGCGGTGTACTCACAGTCGTGCATGCCGTGGTTGTTAGACCGTTGACCTCGCATCCCTACAAAGCCGGGACGGAGCAAGCCGGGTTCTCACCGGACCAGGCTCTCACATCACCAAGCGCGAAGCGTCGTGAGATATTCGGCGAGTCGCATCAAGGGTGCGTTGCATCCCGCTCAAGGTGTTCGACATCTTGTGCCTACTTCCTTGCTTACGGATGACAGCTGCGTGTGACTTATCAACTTTCTGGTGCATTCACTTCCTGAGACGGTCGTAAGCACTGTGTAACTGCCTAGAGGGTGCTTGACCATTTTAACACAACGTTGTGCGATCATCCCCCTTGCGCGGAGTGAGGGTTCTCGACCCCGCACAACATGGTCTACTCGACCGCCATTATGGTTACCGCCAAAAAAAAAACAGAGGTAAACAAT